AAGTGGGAGAACTTGCACAATTGGTGGCTGACTAAATACCTTTTTGCCCCACTGTACTTGGGAGATACAAAATCAAGCAGCCTACTAGCTTTTCTGGATCTCTTGGCAGCTTTCAGTACTTTTTACCAGGCAGTCTCCTAGACCACCATGATATTTTTGAAGTGGTTCTGATCCTTTTTATTAGGTTATATCCAGTATGTCATGCTAGGAATTGCAGTTCAACAAATAAGACTTTTGTTTATGCTGTTCCACTGAGTTCCATCTTGTCCCTGTAACTTTTAATATCTACATGAAACTACCGGTATAAGACACCTAGAGGTATGGAGTAAGATGCTACTAATATGTTTAAAATATATTGCTGTTCCTTGTCATTTAGCTCCAAATAATCAATTCATTCTCTTAATTCTTGCTTAAATTCAGTAATAAATTAGATGAAATAAGTGAGATGTGGTCCAGAGGAGATGGAGGTAATGTCTCTGGTGTTAACTTCTAGATAGTTTCTATGGACTGCACCCAAAGCTTTCAGGAGCCCCATGCTGCCCCAAAGCCTCAGGTTATCTACCCCCACTTTAAAGCGGTTTAACTTCTCATTAGGTGATAGAACAATCAGCTCACTGTGAACTTAACCAGGCTTTAAAGTTAACAGGTAGGCCTCTTTAAGACACCTTTATGTCAGAGATCCATTGCTCAAGAACAGTAAAGAGAGATTACTTCTCCTGCATTACTCTATAAAACATGGTCCTTCAGTAATTGCATTTAACATCTATTCTCCCTGCCTTTAGAAAAGGAGCCTTCCTTCCAAGCTTTCTAAAGTAATGAACATTACCACATCTTGCAGTAGTATATTCCTTACATGCACTTTTTGAATCTCCTTTAATTTAGCTTCACTGGATGGCCCTGAATTATAGATTTATGAGAGAGGGAGAAAAGTCTCTACTTCTTCATACTGTGCTAACTAGATAAAGTATCTGTATCTCCTCTCAATTGCTTTTTTTAAATTTGACAATATGCAAACCTTCATATGAACATTCTCTTCCTCTCATTTCCATTGACCTTTTCTTCAATTTCTCCTATCTATAATATCATTTTTGGGAAGCAGAAACCAGAAACACTGTAACAGTGTAATTTTTTATCTCTTTCCTAATCAACATAGAACAGGACAAATAACAATTGTCTTTTAAAATACTTGTTTAAGGTTTATATTGAATTTCAACAGTTTCCTAAAGCATTATATAAAAATTAAACTTATTTTAAAGATACAAAAGTTAAACACAAGTTTTAAGTATATTTAACTATATTTACAGAGTCAAGTATTTGAGACGGGGAGCTATATAAACCTAATAAATATTCTTGATAAAGGAGTATATCAGAAATAGTAATAACATACCTGATCCATCCTATTTTGCAGTATACATACACAGCACACACAATCACTTACCCCCTCTCTAAAAGTACAAAGAAAAATCAATGAATGCAGGATTCGACAGGATAAAGTAGATCCAAGCAAGCAGAAAACCCAATAAATGCAAGGGAGAAGGATAAAATGCAGAACAAAGCAAGCAGAACACATTCATACATTGTGAAGAAACCTATTCCTTCTATGGCTAGAAAGAGAAAAAAAACTATCATGGGAGAATGTAGTAAAAGGGAATATTTTAATGAAATTCTGTCATTTAAATTTGAATTCATATTCCAATAGTAGTATTATCTTCTGCATGTGAACAGAGATTTTTTTCTTCATTTCAAACTGAGTAATACCTTGGGAACTGAAAAACCAGGAAATTTTCATATTTCATATGTGCAAGGAACCTGTCAGCCCTTCAGGAAACAGACTCTACAGGAAAACTAGAACTATACTTTATTGAGATAGGCTGTATAATAACAGAACCTTGCAAGTCTGGTTGTGCTTCTCCTCCCCTTCCTCTTCTACTCCAGTGAGTCAGTCTCTTCTTAATACTATCATTTTTCCCAGGACTTAAGGCATAACAGTTTCTGAATATTTGCTTCAAGGTTGATTTCACTGAAATTATTTAAATTTTATTTTTTAAAAAAATTCAATTATAGCTAATGATTCAAAAGTACATGTTGCTTTGGTTAATTGTTCAAAGAAAACTAATCACAATATAGAAGTTTAATATAGAAGTGTAAGTTAAAAGCCTATTTGGTGATATTTGTTCTCTTGATATATCATGACAGAACACCTAAATAAACTGAAGCTACAAATACACATCTCCTTTGATACTAAATCACCAAATTATCATCCACTTCAAAATGAAATTTAATCTGAAAAAAAAATCAGAATAGTGGCTGTGTCTTAAATGATGGCTTAATTTATCTTAAATCCAGTCTGACTGGAAATTAATTCACCTTCAAAGAAGTGGAAAGTGAAACAGACAATCAAACAAAACCAGAAAACTTTTCCTTGACATCTTTACCTTAGAACTTTTAACTTTAAGAAAGGGCTGGAAGGAAGAAGTAAAAATAATAATTAAAAAAAACTGATTGGTTGCTTTAATGTCTATTCTAGGTAAATTTGTAGAAAACTTGATTAAATGTAAAATAATTAAACACATTAAATACATAAGAGAGCAAGTCTTCTTGAAGAAGAATAAATGGATTCTGCAAAATAAATTACATGTGTTTTAGAGTTCTTTGATAAGGTCAACAAACATGTGGAAGCAGAGATCCAGTAAACATACTCCACTTCATCTTTTGACTCTGAGGGACTCACTCACCAAAGACTCCTGAGCAAATTTAGTATTCTCAGAACTGGAGAGATTCTCTTACGTTTGGACACTGTTTGAAAATCATTGTAGGAGGACAGCCATTGTTAGCCTAAAGTGGCAAAAGATCAGTATGAGTTTGGTAGCACCTTTTCTGACTAACAATAAAAGGCATAAGCTTTCATTCTCTATGCATCTGATGAAGTGAACCACAGCTCACAAAAGCTTATGCCTTTTAATAAAATGTGTTAGTTGGAAAAGGTGCTGCCAGACTTTTTCTGATTGTCTGAAGAATAGTAACCATATGTGAGCAACAGGGTCTTTACACATATTCAGTCTAGTGCTTCTTAACTTGTTCATCCAGTTAGAGACAAAAAATAAGGTAGGTAAAAAAAATGTCCAGAACAGTAAGCAAAGAGTTACAAAATAATCCAAATTAGAGGAACAGGAACTAAGATGGAATATAAGGAAGGATAAAGACTTTCACACTAGGGCAAAACATCCTAAACTTTCTACAAACTGATAGTGTCTGAGCTCGTGATGACTAATCAGGAAAAGGATATTAGGTTTGTAGTAGATGACTTGATGCAGATGTTGACTGACAGTGCAGCTACTATCAAAATGCTTCTATTTGTAGATCATTGCAAAATAAACCTATAATAAATTTTGTAACATAATAATTCCATGATTCAACTTTACCTGAATAGTATTTACAACTCTGGTTACAGCACTTTCAAAATATAGTGCCAAAATAGGTTCAGAAAGGGACAACTCAATTGTTTAGACCTAGGTGGAACAACTATCCAAGAAGGAAAATAAATGTTGTGCAAAAAAAATGTTAGACAGGTCACAGTATGGTACAGATACACAGAATCATGCATGCTGAAGAGAAACTGAATAGGATGAAATTTTTATCTAGCTCTTATAACACTAAAATCCAGACCATCCAATGAAGCCTAATGGTTTCAGGATAAAGTGGTAATGCTTCATTTAGTTTATACCTAAATTATGAAGTTGAATACCACAATATATAGTGCTGGCCAGCAATCTGACTGTTTTTAAGGGCTTTAGATAAATTTTTGAAGAATAACATAGAAACCAACCAGGCAGCTGGTCAAAGGAACTTTTTATCTTGTCTAGCACAGAAATACTGTACAACCTGCCTATCCCTCCTCCACTAGTCTCCAGAAGATAGTAAGCATGTTTGCTGATCAGGCACTTGGGCACTTAATTAAAATGTCTGTTCTATGAATTAAAAGACTGGGACTTCTTTAATAAAAATAATTTATTAAATTTATATGCTGCCCAAGTCCCAGACACTCTTTTAAAAGAAAAGCAAGAGCTTTAGTCACATTCCTTGCAGAAGCATCTCTGTTCCATGCCTGATGAACAATATTTTGATGTGCTGACATCTTCTGCAAGGAATGTGGATTCAAGTCTCCTCTTTTTTTGTCGGAGTTGGTTAAAGAAGTCCTATTGGTTGGTTCTTCTGAAATAATGCTCCAAGGTAAGCACACTGAATTAATTGGTGAAGCACTATGAATCTTGAGCATGTTTCTATGCTAATTTCAAATAGAGAGAAAAAGAATGGAAAACAGAAATGCCTGAAAGCACAGCTTTTGTCACTCTCATGCGTAATCAAAACAGAGTCCTGCTGCCAACACGGATCTTTCAATCCTGGTCCACTGAGCCCTACAGAACTTATTTCTAAATTGTAGGTGTGTATGTGTGTATGTGTGTGAGAGAGAAAAAGTTACAAGCTACCAAATCCATAGCTCAAATCTTACATCAACCATGAGCTCACTGAGTGATCAGTCCCCTCTCTGTTCCATGCCTGATGAACAGTATTTTGATGTGCTGACATTTCCCATGCATTTATATGAGCCGACACTCCTCCCATAATCCCAACAGCAATCCTGAGCTACAAGGCACAACTGTAGGCCAGTATCATGAGCCGGGGAAGGGTGGCACTTGGAAGAGCAACGTTGGGAGATGCCTAGATCTATGCCAAGCGCGACTCTTTGCTACAACTGGATCCCGAGCGCCACCCACGACCGCCCCTCAGCCCTGCGCCCCAAACAAACGGGGAGTAGCTGCTCCTTCCCCATCCATCGAGCGCCACTCACCATACGAAATCATTGCTTTTGTCCTCGTAGGAATTCAGAAGGCCGTTGCAAAGCGGAGTCAGCAGCGGCCTCTTCCTGGTGCCGCCGCCGCCGCTGACTGTGCCACTGCCGGCCCCGACTCGGGTCCCCGCCAGGCGAGAAAGGCCCCCGCTGCAGGAGGATCCAGACACAGCGGCCGCCACCAACACGGGTCGCGAGGGAACCGCCGAGGTGCCCGTCGCCATCGCGGTGCCCATCGCCATCGAGGTGCCCAAGCAGGCCGAGGTGGTGACCGAGGAGCTCGAGGAGCCCGGAGGGCCCGCAGCGCCCGGCCCGGCCGGAGGGTGCTGCGGCGGCGGCCTGCTTCCGGACATTGCCGAGGCTTGCCTGGCCCAGCTAGGACGGCGAAGACGAGCCTTTCCTCCTCGCGAATCAACGCATCGCTTCCCTCCCCACCGACCAACTGCGGGCAGAGAGGAACAATAACGCTTCCACAGAGAAAATAAAAACTCTCACCGTCGTCCCGCCTCAGGAAGCCTGTACGCCGCATCTGATTGGTTCCCAGACCCCCGCTGGCTGTCCTCCGCCCATCCGAAAGCAAAAGGGGCGGGGAAATGCCTCCCGCTTGTCGAACTTTACCAGCACACGCACGCTGCGCTTCGGAGGTGGGGCTAACAAAGACGCATGCGCCGCTGAAGAACGTCCTCGCTCCCCCTGGGGGGCTGCGCAGGGAAAGGGAGAGGGATACACGCTTGTGCAGCGAGCGGGTGGCTCGCGTTCTGCTTGAATCGGCGCTTGTGCGGGGTTCGTCTTCCTTGCACGACAGCGACGTGCGAGGAAGCGACGAGCTCCCATTGCCAGACTCCTCCATTTCCAAAGCCCTAGTCCTGCGCAGGCTCAGGTTGCGTGGCTGCAGCCTTCGGACACCCAGATCAGGAAGCAGGTCCAGCTGAACTCAGCCGAATTTCCTGCCTCGTGTTGGGTTTAGCTTTCCTGCTGTGGTTCCGTCCAGCTGTTGCCTCCGTTGGACGCAGAAGGGCGTCATTCCTGGGCGGGAAATTGTCATTTTTTTTTTTCTTCAGAAAATGCCTTTTTGGACTCATAAACAAGGCGGCACTTTTTCCGCCTGGAGATCAGTTAGATTTTTGCATATCTGTTGGCAGAGCACCTGGCCAACAAGGGAGAGTTGTTATCAAATTGCCAAGATTGTACAGCTTCAGTGCTCAAGAACTACTGTCACTGCATTGTCTGCTGGCTTTGTGTTCTTTTCTTTCTTGCAACAGCTGAAACCTTCAGTTCTAACACTGACCTCAACTAGATGAACTCAATCATCTTGGGGTAAAACTGGGCAAGTTCACAGGCTGTGGGTTTGCCTTCAGAGGCATCAGCTGCTTATAGAGATGTTTGGAATAATTCAGAGTCTGAGAGCTTCCATAATGAAGTTCTTGGAGCCATTCTTCTATGAAAGGGTATGCATATGTGACCCTAAACTAAAATGCAAAATTTGCAGGTCCTACTGGTGGAGGCTCTGGACAAGAGACAGACAAACTTCTCAGAAGGAAGAGTATCTTAACGGTACCAACAACTTCTTCAG